TTACATCCCCTTTTCTGTTCTCCTTTTATATTCAAAACTTGCCAGTCACCCCAAATGTTTTCACTTTTAAATAAGCCGATGACATAGTAGTTGGTAGTGCATCTAACAACAACAACTCTTCAACCAACCCCCTTCAATCAGCCATAAGTTCCATTTCTGAATGGTCCAATGGTGTTACCCTTTCTTTAAACCCCAATAAATGCATTGAAGTTTTGTTTTCTATTGACCATAGGCCATACTCTTTCTGGAGCAACTGTTTTCAATATCTTGATCAATAACTTAAAAGTTGAAAGGTCACAACACATCAGATATCTTTAATGTTTCGTTTCTGCTGACCTCAAATGGTCCTACCACGCAGAACAAACATTTCTTTAAGTCAGAAGGTTGACTTTTATATTTCACGCCTTCGGCATCTGAGTACCATTGTACATCATCTCCAAATTTATTTTCTCATGCGTTTTATGCCATTGGACCTACTGCTCTCTCGTTATCTTTCCCGGTCTACTGTTTAAGGATTTCATAACAATTAGACGCTTTCCAAAAAGCATCTCTAGATATGGAGCTGTATCTTATGAGGAGCTGGTTGATTCTATTGTCAACCAACACTTGAATGAGTGTGACCGTCTGTGTGACCCCATCTTGTCCGATGCGCCACATCCCTTACAGCTCTATCTAGCTCAATTTCAACTTCTGTAACCCGCAATAAATTTAAATTTTTATATACTCGTACCACTGCTCTTTACAACTCCGTTGTACCTTACCTTTCACGTTTGTTGGTTTCTAGGGAACGAATATCAAACGAACTTATACGCAGTCTCATGTACATTTTCACGTTGAAATTTTCTTTATTTTTTTTACGCGTTCTCCGTGTCCTATTCATTATCATCTAAGTAACTATTTGTCACATTTCTAAGCTCATTTTCAATTGCGCGCATACCAAAGAAAAAATTCTGAAAATTCTGTCCACATTGGATGAATAAAGTACACTCTTGACTTGACTTGTGTCTGACCACAACTAACTAAGCCAGCAGAATGCACAGCATTCTTGATAAGCGATCAATGTTCATTGAGGTTATCAGGTGGGGTTGGTTCTAGCTTGTCAGCTAGCGCGTTTTGACAATAGTATAATTATCCAAGGGGGTAAATGAGATCCTGAATTGTATGATGTATATTAAACCGATGAAATTGTTATCTACTTGTATTCCGTACTAATAAAGGTTATTTCAAACGGTACTGACAAACGGATACTGCGCTCAAAAGTTATCAATCACGAATGGATGGAAAATTTAAAAAGTTCCTCACCTTTCCACTGGTGTTTCCCGCACATAGACCAGAACTAAAAGGCCGGAGTACCACAGAGCCTCCGATCCCGATATCCGTTGTGTGAATTACTTCACCCCAGCGTTCCAGAGCATCCAGTTCGAGCAGACTGGTTTGTAAACCACCCAAGAAGATCCGGGAAAACTCGGCCTCGTTGGCGCTACCCCATACACCGTTGACGACACCGGCAGCCGCTCCAGTTGGACCGGTCACTGCGAGACATTCCAGTTCTAGCATATTTTTGTCTCTGTGAGCACAGATACAATCATACGTCAAATTGGGATGGTGGTATAAAACAGTACCTCTGGACTGAAAGTACTCGTCAAAATAGGAACCAGAGAACAATTCAATCAACAGTGATGGTGTGCGATCCAAATGGAGCTTCAATCCAGTTTGTCAATGGATGTGTAAGTCCAAAGAAGGAACCGATTTTACTACGAAAATAGGATTCGACTACCCCGAAAACCTCAGTATGGTCGGGGGTGTCTTGTGTTGGAGCTGGTCATCCTTCCCTTGAACCTCATGAAATGATCCTATGCAACCAAGCGTCTCAAATAACTTCTGCTGAGGAAGCCCTACTCACTGCCTTCCCGCGGCGGAGTTGTTTTCCCACCGAAGTGAAAGGACGAAAAGTCAACATTTGAGGCTATAACCGGGTTGGTGGACCACTTCTAGTCCACCTAGGGGAGTTGGCCAAAAACCTTGATTCCAAACTAACTATGAGGAGGCGTAAGAACACACGACACACAACTTCCTGGTTGTGGTAGTGATCACCGGCTCGAGTGGACATCGAGCTGTATTGGGCACCTTGGACGTTTGACTCCGCCCAAAGGGAGCACGATCCGCTGAACTGGACACCGGCCCCCAATAGACTGCGGCTTTCGCACACCGCCTTGCAGGTCATGCTTTCGCTAGCCAAATCCTCAAGAGAATCTACCTGCCTTATTCTGGGCAACCTGGTAGTATTCCGCCCACAAACAACTCAAGGAAGTTTCGCTTTTCATAAAGATTGGTGTACAATGATTTGTTAGGCAAACAGTTTGGACTCAGACGCGTGTGAAATACATACGATCCGACCAAATATTAGGCAGAGTTAACTCCATCACGACAAGACTGCACCTCGACGTGGTGTGATGGCTTGTGCAACTCTCTGATCCAACGAGCAATACAGGATGGTTTTTGTCAAGCCGCAGATCTAATCATGCCTGGAAGGTCAATGGGTAGAGGTCAGACAAAGTCTAGCCTCCTGGCCCTCCAGGTTGGGCGTTCGACTCAAGTCGGCGTCTCAGTTAAAACTTGTTGGAGGAATAATTGATCCAAGTTAATGGGCCTC